ACGTTTTAAACCTGTCTTGAGGTCTAGCAACGTGCTTGCACAGAAACAAAGATGCAGCCTGAAAAGCTGAGGACATTGGGATCCCAAACCTAGTGTCGCTGCATGAGGCAAGCAAGGCATCCACACTGCCTTGGCCACAAGGCCACCCAGCAACTCATCCGAGCTCTCAGAATCCAGCGGAAAATCCAAGCCAGCCTGGATGGCTTTGGGTGCCTCTTGGTTTTCTAATGCATGAGATGTTATTCCTAGTAGGGGCCCCTTTTGGGCCCCTTACGCCCGTATCAAGGAGGGAGAGAGAGGAGCCCATTTCCAAACCCACACATGCGAGAAAGCTTTCCTCTTTGCTCTCCCCCGCCAGCCCACCGTTTCCAGCCCACCGTTTCTTCGAATGAGCGATCCAAACAATGTTGTGAATAATTGATTGGATGAAACCCTCACAGCTCCTGGAAAGCTGGCACCGCGGCTTCCCTCCTGAGCCCAGCTAGTCAGCTGGGCTTAAAATTCTTCAATAAGAATGTGAAAGGTCCATCTGTTCGTTTTTCTGCACAGCCCTGTGAAGTGACAGTCCTCGGAAGCCTGCTCCTTTTCTCCACCCACAACCCCTGTCCCTAGATGGGGTAGCCTTGCGCTCTTCCAGAATGGAGGAACCCCCTTCCTCTAGTCCAGTCACCCCCTGCACGAGCTGTTGGCCCTCTTTAACCTACGTGTCACCCTTCTCTTGGACTCTGTTCGCACCTCCACCCTTCCAACTAAAATCTAGCTCTCCTTCACCATCCTCCCTCTCTTCCCGGCTTGCTTCCTTCCTCCGATCCTGTAGGAATCCCCTTTAAACAACAACAAGAACCACACTAAAAAGTGTACCGGCAAAGATCGTCGCTCTTTCCCCTCGAGCAGGCAAGCCGAAGTCTAGCCGCCCGAGTACACTGGCCTGAAGAATTTGGCTGAAGGCGGTTTGTAATCCGTGCTTTCAGTACATATCTGACACCTAGCAAAAGCCGGGTCCTGTGACCTGGATAAAGGATGGTGGGCTAAGCACATTTGCACATATTTGCTTAGTTTTGCATAATTTTGCATCTGCCGGATCCAGAGGAGGAGGAGGAGGAAATGAGGCAGGCTGTTAAGACCTCAACACACGAGATGACCCCAGGCGGTTTACCCATATGCTTTCCAACCTCAGCCTGGAGACTGGCGAGGCTCTTGTTCCCCTCTAAAAGAGGTTGGGCAGTTCTCGGGGGTGGGTAGGTGGGTGTTTTTCTGTAAGGTAAAAGGTAACGGTTACAGGCTGGTCCCTTCAAGGCCCACCAAGAGGGCTCAGGCCGGAGCATCTGGCCCTCCTGCCCCCTGGCTCAGCGCCAACTTTTCAGGAGTATTATTTTCCCAGGAAGCACTCAGTGTAAATACAGCATGTGGGAGAGTCCGTCCTGGGCAGAGATGAAAAAGTCTCCATGACAGGCCCGGGTTATAAACGGCTTCCTTGGATTGATGCGAAATCAAAACATTTCTTTTGGGGAGGAGAAAAGGGCTGGGGATGTTTACTTAGCCTGGAATCCTTTGTGCCCGGCTGAATGGAGAACCCAGGCTGGGGTG